CCACCAACCCCCCCCCCCCAAACCCCACAACAGAAATGTTATTCCTTACCTGTATTCTTGATGCTGAATCAGATGCAGAATTGATTTATATCCACTGCTCTACCTCCTCTAAGATACCCAGCCAACATTGTAAAAGCATCAAAAGACATATTATGGTCACATGAAAGAAAGAACAAGCTTACACCATATGTTTCTGCCCACATCAATTGCAAGAAATTACAGGAACGTTCATGTTACTGTACTGGATAATTAATCTTAAAGTAACAATTACATTCTAATGTTCCAAGAACAGGCTGGCCATAGTCTATAGTTCCTGGTTATTCACCAGAGAACTCCTTTGTACATGTTAAGAAAGCATTAAAATATATTTTTCAAGAAAATTCAGGTCACTTTGCAATACAGTAGCTACAAAACATTTATTTTTTTAAATAAAAACATTTAAATCATCAGATTTTGTAAAACAGCATATCAAGTGTTCATCTTAATCTTTGTAGTGTAAGCACCTTCAGTTTTGTGCTAAAACAATCAACATAATTTATTATTTGGTCAGGCCATTAACCTACATTGAAATAAATATACTTTTAACCAAGACAGATCACTTAATGCATACCAGATTACCGTACCTTTATAGAAAGTTTCTCTGGTGACAAATGAAATACAGATGGTGAAACCACGATTGCAGTAATTTTTTCTTTTTCTCTTTTTAATTTCAGTGAAGACTGGCCTATAATTTTAAACTATAAAAACAATGATAAAGCACTACAGACTATAGCTTAAAAAACCCCTGCATCACATAAGAGAAATATTTGAGATGGCTTACCTAAACTGTCTCAGAATAAGAAGTGGAATACAAACTCCTAAATTAGTTACAATGCACTGGGCTGGTCATATCATATGTCCCACTGGAAATTATCCACTGAACAGGAATAGAAATCTTTGTTTAATTACAAGAGAGATAAGCCACTGATAAGTGAAAACAATATAGCTCACAAAGGGCTTTTTACGCCGATACTATTCATTACAAAACATAGGGTGCAAAATTCAACATTAAAATTATATAAACCTTAAAAGTACAGAACAGAACTTAACAGAAGCTTACAAGTCAAAATACTTCAGCACCTGAGATTTTCCTGTAGAAAGCCAAACAGAGATACTTTCTTCAGAAAACATGTAATACAATCAACTCCTTTTCTCTCGGTATTACATACGAATAATTGATCAAGAAAGAGTTGAAATTTACATAATGCTCCAAAATTCTAATTAAGCCTTGGAAGATAAATCTGCTATCAAGCTATACTTAAAATTTGATCCATGTGCATTACCTAACTGACTTTATTTTATGAAAACATTTTGTATTAAAACTGGAATAGACTTCATCTATTAAAGTGTTCTGATGAAATTAAGTTCAAAGAAAAGACAAAGAAAAATATGCAGCTTGAATCACGTTGGCAAAGAACTAAGAATACTGAAATAGAAACAGGTTTGAACAAAATGTAATAACAATAATCTGCTATGCAGGCATTTAGTTTTACAGACAACTAGTGGTTATGTCTTTACTTTTGGTAAACTAATACTTTAAGGAAATCCTTTTCTATTTTCACTTTGAGAGCTGGGAAGTTGCATTTTCTGTGTTCTGCTCTGTGTGATTAAGACTTCATGATTTTGTATGTACAATTATCTGTCATCCCCAAGGTAGCCACTGTACTGCATACCAGTCTCAGAACAGAAACTTTCTTTTTTAATCCCTTGGTTTTGAAGCCTTAAGCAATTGCATATTCTATTTAACAACTGAACTCCCAGACCCCAGAGCAAAGGAGAAGAAAACATTTAAAACAAAGGTATCAACAAAACAGTGTTCTGATGGAAACACAGTAGTTTTATTCTAACATTATCTAATTTTATTTATGAAGACTATTTAAATGTCAAATGATATGAAAATTAGGACTTCAAATACTGGAATATGAGGGATGTTCTTTTAATTCTAGAAATGCTTCCATCAGGGAAATCATACTGTACATTTGGTTTTATTTAATTACTTAGTGATACTGTAAAAAATTAAACTATCAGTGTTATCAAGATTAAACGTTCCTTCCCCCCCAGTTAACTACTTGGAATTTTCTGGAACCTTTCCATCAGTGAAAACCAGTCAAGCATATCTGTTTCTCTTCTTTAATTCCTAAATATGAATAGCTTGGCACTCAGTAGTAACTTTAGGAAGAAAAGCTGCAGAGATTATACTGAAAGATTTAATATTAAGTTATTGCAATTTTAAAATTTGAGTGCAGTAAAATGCACTGTTGGCTCACTTAAAACCAGTCATCCTTAAAACCCATCATCTTTCCTCAATACAAGGTGCAGCAGAGTTTAAAAAACAAGGCGGGCAAACCGCTCCACCACAAACAAAAAATCCCAAACCAAGAATATTGTTTTCAGTGCAAACACTGTAGTCTTCAAAAGGTTAAGAGTACAAATATTTACGTTCCAGTGTATCCTTACCTACAAGGAATGTTGCTTCACATTATAAAGTATGTCAAATACCTTTAATCCAATCGCAATACTAAAGTTTACCCTCTCAAATCGATATGGTGGCTGAAACCTAAGTGTTTATACAAGCTGTGTAACTTTCTGGAGAAACTAATGCACACAGTTGAAAGTTCTCACAAAAACCAAGGGCAAAGACTGCAAATTCAGCTGCTGGTCCTTAACCAATTTCAGTATCAAATGCCAAAAAGTAACCAGCTACTTAATAAGGAGTGAACAAAGCCTCCTGCACCAGCACCTTAAATCCCCTGCCCCCTTCCCTAATTCTACAGGCCACAGAGGCAAGCTGCAGACAACCGCTTCTCAGGCGAAACTCTTCTTGACGGAACACGACCTTACTGTATGTCATTCATTTTTTCAATGTGCAAAAATTAAACTTCTAGCAAAACCCCTCAAACCTAAAGAAAACTTCTGTGACACTGCAGAGGGAGGTGGGCATGTTACTTCAGTCATTCAAAATATGCTTATAAAGTTCACCTAGAATACTATTTTGCAGCATTGTGCTTTTAGTTACTAGCTGGGATTCCAAGGAACATTTGAAAAAGGCACCTACTACACTTTCTTAATTAGCTGCCCATTTTAATAATTTTGGTACTATTTGTCACAGTACATCAGAAAACAGCAGCACAAAGCATTAGATGGACAAAACTTTTATATTTGTTCCCCTTTAAAAAGCAAACATTTAAAATGAAAGGCACTCACGACAGAAACTCTCTCTCCAGTTCATATATAGATGGCCGACAAGTTTTGCTCTTCATTCTACATAAAGGCACAGTACAGTCTCTGTTTTGACCTTCCACATCAATATCAAGTAATGAGGGCATGTGGCAGTTAGTTCTTTTCTCCGTATCTGGCAAGAAGTTAACATCTGGATCTACACTGTCCTCTAAATATTCAGAGTCTTTAGAGTTTGGTTTAACAATACGTGGAATAATCTGCCATGCATCAATTTTACTTCTTAGAGAAGAAGGTCGAGGCCTTGATATAATATTGACAGCGCTTTGCTTTTCAGTTGAAACACCACTGTGATTGCTTCTTTGTTGAACAGACGGAGAGTGCAGAGTTCCAGTAACTGACAGAACTGGTAACGTGGAGACATCATTGGTTGAAGCAAATCCATTAGCTAGGGGAAAGGAAGGACCAAACAAAAAGAGACAATTTAAACCTTGTGACTTCTTGATTTCTTTGCCGTTTGTAAAACTGAGTTGCCATAAACACTAGTGGGTTTTCTTCCACCAGAAGAATTAAGAGGCTTATACATTTGTGGGGAATCTCCTAAGAGAGGACCAGCTGTGCTCAAATAACATTTTGCATCTATACTCTCTGCCAGAGGCCATAACAATTTATTTTTTATTGCTACAAAAGAGATATATAGAGAAAGTGTTAACCATCCAGTAACTGGATTAATATTAATACTGGAATAAAGCCCCACAAATTTGTCCAGTTATTATGAGTAATTACATATGCATAGAGCACCATGAAGAATATTACATTTAAGCCACCACAGAACACCAGTATTGAAATTTAGAACTTCTTTTCAAAAACTCATTAACCACAAACTTATCCATTTATATGGAAACCAGATTTAAAGACTTTTTTTCAGCTTAAATTTTTATCAACAGCTTAACTTAAGGATTCGTGGAACATGTGACATAGCTTCTAGGTCAAGCAAGCAAATCAAATCTTACCAGACTTGTTCTTCTTGAAGTTAATAAATGTGCAGTACTAAAATGATGCTCAATCACTCACCTATGCGGACTGTGAAACTATATTAAACAAGTGTACTCTCAGTCTCAGAAAGTCCACTACTACATAATGCATGCACCTGACAGAGTCTCAGTTTATTTCAGGCATAATGCTAATATTGTACATTTCACAAAAAGCAGGTTCTCGCCGACATGAAAAGACCAGGGAAACCTACTTTTGCAATACCTGTGAAAAATAGATATCACCTTAAAATGAACCACCTCTTCCCCTTAAATCTCCATACCCACACTCCTAACAGGATATTCCAAGTGGAGGTAGTTTATTCAGGGTTCAGCCAGAGGGCTTACCCACATACAGTTACGGCGGCTCAGCTAACACGTTAACAGTGTAACAAAAATCTTAGCAACTCATTAGTTTTCCTACATTTTCTGTTTCTACACTTAAAAATCCCCTACATTTTAAGTTCTTAATTACCCACCTGTGGCCTGAAAATTGTTCCCATCTGATAAGGTTCGTCTGTGACCCAACACACTTAACTTTGTCGAGGAATCATTTGGCACATTTTGAGATTCTTGTTTCAGACAAAGATTAAAAGGTTGATTTCTTAATCGTGTAGAAACTGTGTTAGGAGCCAGCGGTATCCTCTGTTCTCTCTTACTTTCAGAAGTTTCAGATGAAAAGTCATCAGTGGAACTACATGGACCACAGTCACCAAGCACAGTGCTTACAAATGCATCTTCACTGTCAGACTGAAGTAGGCATTTTGTGGAAATGGAGGGCATAGAGAGAAGATTCACAGTATTTGCAGCTGGATTTAGGGATGGAATACTTGTTTCCTCTTTCTTGGACTGCAGTCTCGTAGGGCTGGCACTCCTACGAAATTTTGAAGCACGCTGAAATATTCCATCACGCCGCTTCTTCTCATCTTTAGGCAAGAGTTCATCTGGACCCTGTGATTTGTTCAGCTCTCTGATATCTAAGCCCAGGGCAACAGATGCAAGGAGGACAGCACACCCATACAGCACTGAATCAGTCTTCTTTTTCTGCAGCGTCCTGCTCAGGCTGTTTGTAGGTGTCATTTGAGGAGTACTATTTGTAGAACTAGCAGAAGTTCCTTCTTCAAAGCTCTCATGTTCTACTGTACTGTCTCCCTGATCATCTTTCCAAAGAGGTAGACTAATATAGGCCTGATTTGGCAACTTAATTGGCTTTGGTCTTTTACTGTCCAAACCTTCAGGGAGAAGTTTCTTATCAGTACAGACACCTGTAAAACATTACAGCGTACTTTAAGATTGCAATTCAGCTGTTTTGCTATTGCATGTCTGCATATGTAGACCATTATTTCCTTTCACTTGCACAAGTATTAATCTTGAGGTATGCTGTACGCCCCCTTTAGATGCAGTCAGAAGCTCAGAGACTCACATTGTAAGATTCAGAAACACATCCTAAGCCTCTTCATGTTCTCTTGATAGTCTTTAAAATACCAGAAGTACCATTTTGCTACAATTTCATCTTTTTAGCAACTCAAAAGCAAACTCTATTAGAAGCAACTTGCAGATCAATCTTCCTGAGTATATAAATTAACTGTAAACAAATTATGTTTTCCACATCTGAAAGACTTTATTTTAAAAGAGGCATAATGTATCTCCCGAACTTTATGCACTCAACACAGCTGAAGAGCAGATATTGTCTTTGCATTTTCTGTGATATTTGAGGATTTGCAACACTTTGGTAGTGCTTTTCAAATAACACGGAAAATATTTCTGTGTATGGATTACAGTGAAGTAATTTACTATACATAAACTGCCAGATAAGATCTGGAACACATTCTTTAGAACACTTTCAATTAAGCCGTGTTCCAAAATCCAGTGAGTTACTAGAAAGTCTTCCAATTAATTCATTAGGCCACGGTGGTCTGGAGGAAAAAGTAAAATTTGACATCTCGCACCTAATGACAAATAAAATGGAAGGTATAATTTGACATACATGAGTTATTCTACTATAAACTACTGGATGCTACAGAATAAACACAGAAATATTTTAAATGCAAATATGTAAACTTGTATAATCTTCTCTGTATGTAGGGGTTTAGCAGTAAGCTAATAAATCTATAAAATTCCTATTTGCAAAGCCTTGATTTATACTCCTATCAGTATATACGAAGATGAAAAGCTCTTTTTCGTAGCGGAAAAAAAAGAAGCAGTGTCCAAGCAGCTTACCATTTCCTCTTCCAGCTGGCATAAATCTAGCCGCTGGTAGGGACACCAAGTTATATCACAGGTTTTTTTTCCTGACACTGGTAACTTAAATTTGCTCAGATAACAGAATCTGTAGTATAGAAGGTGTCTGCAAATTTGAAAATTATTATGAATATTGTATAGCCACAGCACATTATAGTAATGGACATAAAAAGCAACATACAGCTATTATGTTCCTGATCCTAAGAGGATTAAGTATGTTTTAACTTGTGATTTACCTGTAAATCCCAAAGTGTTGCCTAAAGAACTTTAAGATTTGGAATCTACATATTTTTTCTTGAAAATTTAGAGAGTCTCATTTAAAAAACAGGAAACTAATATCTGCCAATACATCAGGGCTTACAGGTTTTTAAACAGCTATGCATCTTTTTTAAACAACTATGCAGAGCCCACTAACAATAAAAGTCATTAATCATCATTTAAATGTCAAGACAATTACTGATTTAGATATTTCTTTTTAAAAGAAGCTAAAAAGTGATGACTGCAGTCCTCATATTCGGATCAGCCTGCAGCTCAAAAACATGGAAAAAATCTCTATGTGTTACTGCTCACACACCATGTATATTTCTTAGCTGCTAATGCTGGAAATGTGAAGATGTTAACACTTGCATTTTTTTTATAGATAGGTTTTTTGCACAGGAAAATGATTTGTAGCATGACTACTGTTCTAATAATCTGCATAATCCTTGAGGAATTCAAGCAATACAATTTATAACACTGGATGTAAACTTAATGCCATTATATGGCAACTTTCACTTTTTCAAAAATAGCTCTTACCTTGATCCACAAATAGTGAAGCTAAGGGAACACCCTTCTGATTTTTCATTAAAAGGGTTGACCAAGGGTTGCTGCCATCTGAAAGGGGTCTTACTCTGAAATAACAATAATTATTTTGATATTACAGAGGATACCACGCTTATGTACACTTTGACAGAAAATCACTAAAACATCTTTTTTTTGAAACTATAAATATGCAGTACATAACTTGAAAACAGTAAAGCTTTCCAAAGGTAAAAAAAAATTGTATATAATAGCACAGAGTCATATGATTACAAATTGATACATGCCTTATATCAGGTATTCCTTATAAGATGAAAATTTCAGGCCTAAAAAGAAAGCCAATGAAAGATGGGCCTTGACTACCTACTGAAGAACAAAAGTTGGTGAAAACCTGGACAACAGTTTCACTGTGTCAAAGAAATTATGTGGATATTGGAAATTTATTAAACATAGTGACTTTAAAACAAACAAAAATATCATAAAGCCAGTTTCAATAGATGGTCTGGAACCAACTACTGCCACAGGTAAATGAGTGGATGTCTCTACCAAGAAAAAAAAAGGTGCTATAAATAATTATATATACTAGAAGAGACAAGGAAAAGGATCTCTTGCTTCAGAAAAACTGCTAATCTCCAGTTTTGAGCAATCAGAAGAAATAATCTGAAAGTGAAGGTGTCCAACTGATTTTCAGAACCCTTCCACCCTGTGTTTGTTAATGTAAATGATGTTGCTGGTGTGAATCGTGCTTCATGTATGCCAAGTCAGTCAGTCTTATTTTCTCGTACTGGAAGTGCCCACGGGGGGCCATGCTTGCAGTTCCTCAAGTCAATCTGAGGAAGGGCAAGAAAGATAGATAGGCCATGAATGTCTGGTACGCATTAGTAGCTCAGCATCCCAGTACGTTCCAAGTCTCAAAAACCAGAGATAAAGGGTAATAGATAAGAGCCACTAAAACCTTAAGTTAAGTAAACGTTTTATCCTCAAGGCTATGTGGGAGAGCTACTCATTATTGATGTAATTCCTAAATTAATTAAAAGGTAGGACTGAGTTTTAGCTGTAACTAGAGACTGCAGAACTTCTCTCACTCACTACCTATGTTAGTGATTCAGTTACCAAGAACGCTTACTATTATCAAACAAAATGTAGTAGACATACTTGTCCTTACAATCTGCACGATCCTTTGTTTGAACTGAACTTGGTCCCCATGTACAACCTCTCTTTTTAAAACTTCTCTTCACATCTTCAAACTCTTCTTGCTGATAAGTTGTGTTCCTTCCCCAAGTTCTGTTGCTTTCATCTGAAGTTACTAGAAATTGGATTTAAAAACACAAACAAAAAAACCCCACACATAAATAGTATTTCTAAAACCAAAACATTTTGACAGAGTATTTTCTCCACTGCAAAACCATTTTGACCCAGTAACACAACGAGGAGTAGACAAAATCTGAGATTTTTCTCTTTTACAAAAACCACCACGCAAACTGCACTGATCCCAGAAGACGAGCAAGCAAGAAAAATAATTTATGAACTGACAAGAGACCCAAATTAAAGATAAAGCAGCAAAACAATCGTATTTTCCATGCTTCCTTTAACTGAGAACCTTATATTTAGGCAATTCAGACAAGTGAGTTAGACTGAGCACTTAAATTCCAATTAAGAAAATATATGCTGTGGAACACTTGGTATCAAATGAAAAGAATATTCCAATTGTGACAATGATTAATGTTTTCTTTCTCACTACACCAAAACAAATTATACTTTTAAAGTGTCTAACCTTCATTAAATGCTTAGTCTGTCACTGTCTCAACTGTTAAATTAAACAGAACCAGCACCTTTGAAACATAATGAAATCTTGCCTTTTTTCATAACCCCACTGGGAAGTTCATATTCACTTGTGATATCTACATCTTGCTGGTACACATATACACTGTTTCTTCGGCCATTAGTTGTGTGTGTATCTGTTTTGGGAATCACTGAGGAAAAATTAAGAGAATGTAGTAGAGATCTTAGTCAAGCTGATTTCAGAAACGGAACTGTTTCCCTTGTATTTTTATCTTTGGGTCATAAAGCCCAGATCTATAAAGGCACTAAGCATCTTTTGATAGAGGGTTTTCACTGTAGGGTTTAGAGGGTCCTCTTTCTAGGACCAGACCCAGGCAAGTAGATTTTTGTATACGACTGACTAACTGGACAAGTAACTTGCTATCAACTTAGCATGCTTACAGCTATGATGGAGAGACCTAAGAGAAAAAACAATGAAGCCAGCTATAACAGCATGATAAATGAGGTGGCATTTACACGCCTGGCACTGCACAGCACTCTCCTCCTGCCTCACCGTACACCTTCTCGCCAGCACAGCTTCCCCTGTAGTAGGGCACTCTACTTGCCTTCTTTACACTCCCCATTTTCAACTGTGTTTCAGGACCTATGGAATATATATCTTACTGGTTTTCTGCGTCCCTTTAAAACACCTTTCAAAATCAGCTGGATTTGTTTTAATAACAAGATTTACAATTAACTAGATTTTTATTAACTTAAAAAATTTTAGATTTGGAAGCCAGTCTCGCTCATGACAAAGTGAAGCAATCAAGTAACCAATTGTTAGATACGCCTGTTCAAATCACCTGTATTTGAGCAAGTCTTCTTGAAACAAAGACACTTTGAAGTTAAATCAAGATAAAACATTATTGTGGGAAAGAGAATTTATTTTGCACAGGTGCAGATGGGTGTGGAAGCTGAATTGTTTCAGCTAGATACTCCTGAGAGATCTGATAAGTTTCTAGGTAAAGCCTAGGGATCCAAACTCAGAAACAGAAGAGTACTTCTTTTAAAGGAGAGCCTTTATGTTGTCCTGTATGTTCTAGTCCTACAAATACAAATGCCTGCTGGAATAAAAAAAAAAAAAGGAAAGAAAAATACCCGGTGGCACTTAGCACACATGCAAGGAGTGGCACTGCTATAGCTTACATAAGGCTATGCATTTAAAGAAAAAAAAACCCTCAGGTTTTCAGAATCATGCCGATACCCGACATCTGCTTCATTTCCAAGCATTCCATACAGAGCAAGGAGAATCAAAGATAAAAGATAAAATGAGACAGTCTTGTTCATATGTAATTATGACATTTTACTAAGAAAAACCTTTCTTACCTTTCTGCAGTAAAAAAATAACTAACCAAAAAAGCCCACCACACTGTTTGAGGTTGGGAAACCATTATTACTGTGTCAGCTAACTTCTGAAAAGGACTTTATGTAATTTTCCTTCCATCTAAAATTTTCATTAAGTTAAGACAGGGTTTGCCCACCTCTCTCCTTTATCCACAACATATGGGTAGTAATGGTCTTCGCCCAGGGAACTATATCAGTTATGGTTCAAACAAATAATAAAGTTACTGCCAGAAAAGACACCACTTCTCCTTTAGACATTAATAATGAAAAAGATTTCATAAGGCAGAGGTATTCCAAAGGAGATGAGAGATCTGGTTTCTATCCAAACTTTAAACAACGTTTCAGGTTGGCTAAAAAAAAAAAACAAAAACCCCAAAAAACCCCAACTTGCTACAGAACAGTATGCAGAAAAAAAATCCCCATACATTTTGATTTCCCCTCCTCCTTATTTACATCTGATAAAGCCAGATTCCAAAGTAATTTCCTTCAGAGGTGACTACCCTTGCAAGAGAAGATAGTCACCATCCATAAGCAATCAGCTGGAACAGGTTACACTGATTTCATAGAGAGAGAGAGAAACCTGAGGCCTCATCTCACATAGCATTACACACTAAGTATGGACAATTAGACAATCTACTTTGCACAACAGATCAGACAGTACAAATGCAAGCACTGAATCCTGTAGGAACTGTTTTCTATCTATCATATAAATGCGGAAATGGTCAGATATAAATGATTGGTTTTCTTCCATATTCATGGTACCTCCATTACATGAGCGTGAACACAACTTCCATTGTCATCAGTATACATGGAATAATGTAGGCCTACAAGCGTACCCACAATTTTATTTTTGTTTCTTTCTCTTGTTTTCAAAAAAACCTAAAGCAAGCTCTCTTCTTTATTTTCTTCTGGTTTTGTATTTGCTTAAAGCTTGCTTCTCTTTTGACATAAGCAAGCTGGGTTGCTGGCTGATTCTTTGGGCTTTCCATCTCATATGACTCCCTTATTCTCTGAATCTTTCTTCCCCTCCGCCCCCCCTTTTTTTTGATAGTCCATAACTGACTTCCTTTATCAACTCCAATACCTAATAAAAACTTGTTTTCCATCTTACATGGGTTCTAAACATGATGCTTTGCCTTTTGCCATTATAAATTTTGATTCTTCATTGTTTTATCAGTTTACAAATGAGTTCCTGAAGTTATCAAGGAAAGATATGATTTAAAGCATTCACAATCATTTTGAATTACTGAAAATTAGTTAGCATTTTAGCAAGATTATCCCTCCCATCAAAGAACAAGTTACAAATGTTAGAACAAGTAAAGGGACCTGGAAATCAGACAGAAATCTGTCTGGAATCTGATACTACTACCAGTGTTTCAGTGAGTATATGGAAAAAACAGTCTCTATTGACCAAGTGAAGAAATAGAAATGGTGGAGACTTACACTGTATAGCTCGAAGACGAGGAATAATTGTGGGGCTACTTGATGGACTAGAGCTGTTACTGTTTAAACTCCTCCTCTTATCCAGATTGGGGGATGCCTGCACTGTTATTTTGTGCTGGAAATCTATAAGAGGGTAAAACAAATCAGTTTTAATGTTCTAAATAAAAAAAAAAAATCTTCATGAGATTATACTGCTGTACTTCTTAAAACAATTAAAGCTATATAAGGAATTAGACTTGACAGTGTAAGAGATGTTCATATTAAAAACACTGACAAACTAACCCTTAATGTAACAATTTAGATATTGAGTCAAACAGGCAGGATTTCACACCTTCACAGAGACTATATGATAGGTTTGCAGTAACATCAACAAAAGCAGGTAGGTCCAAGCGGACCCAAACTGAGACACATCCACATCACAAGCTGTTATTCAGTCATCTTGGTTGTCACAGAGGGAAAGAAAAAAATCTCAGTATTTCATCTCAAATCAATCAATACTCATGGCAATCAGATTTGCCTTATTTTTTTTAACATGTAATTCATATACAACATAAAAAGTAGCATTAACAAAGAAGTCACATCTATCAACACATCAAAAAAACAAGACACCAAACTACAGAATTACAAATATTTAGAGCAGTGTAGTAAAAAAAGAACAGCAACAAATATTGGCAAGTAGGAAAAAATTTTGTGAAATAAAATTTGACGATATCCTCCTCTCTAATCCCCTTCACCAGTGCAATGAGATTGTATGCTGTTCTTACAACAGAAATGTCTCAAGGACAAGGTCATCTGGATGATTCTTGACAACAAAGAGCTAAGTGGTATTCTGAGTAAAACTGTTTATTTTATCACTTTTTCAAGTTAAATATGAGCAGAGCTGGAAACAAAAGACGAAATATTTAGTTTAAGCTTGTGATCCAGCATAAACCAATCTAACATGCTTGTCCGGGAGGCTGTAGTGTGATTTTTATTTTATTTACTGTCATTATTATTTTTAAAGTAAGGAAAAATAAGCTTATTTCACTAGTGCTGAAACGGTACTCTAAGTATTACTGCCCTCTTTGTCTCTTTCCAACTACCAGACAGCTCTGATTTGGTCAGACCTGCGTTAGCGTGGCATTAAGTTCTTACTGGATTAGTAATAAACTGACAGACTTGACCTGGAAGCCACTAAAAGGACGCCCATCAACACCAGGATGCTGCTACCACTTTTGAAGGCTTTCCAACCATTGGCATAACCTTGAGTTTCCATAGTGCCACCTCGTGGCAACATTAAAAAGGCACCACTAAACCAGTCCCTGACACTAAAAAAACCCCAACTCTCTACAAACACACCTCCTTTGCAAAGGGGACACTTTAATGTGTTCATGGTGGAATTAAATGCTCTAACATTCAAATTATATCGCATTTGTATTCTGAAATAATATCTTCTGTTGCTATTACAGTGTTTTCTTGTAAGAAGTAAGGCACCAAGGACTGTAACTGCTGTGTTGTATTTTGCGATTGCAATAAGCATGCAATTTGGACCCACCACACCTGTACCTCCAGCCTTTACGAAGTGCTGTTCTTCTATTATGTATTTGCAAGTTTAGGGCAAACAGCACTAATATTTGATCATAGTAGAAACCTCTGGGATGTGATAAAAAAGTACTTTTCTATCTGCACAAAAAGAACGGTACCAAAAATCTGAATTTCAAACCAGTCTTAAATAATTTGGCTCCCATGCTAGTAACCTTTCCCTCCAGATACAATGGACTTGTAGCTGAATCAGGTGAAAGATTCTTCCAGCTGAAATGAGGACTACTCCACAAGAATGATATGTGAAAGTTGTTTTCTTAAAAAAGAAAGAAAGAAAAAAAAGGGCCATACAAGTCTTACTATATCCTTTTGCGCTGTTAGGGTAGAAGGACCTAGCAACGAATTAAAATAGTAGCCGATACTGAAAACATTACCCATGGAGCTGAAGCCTGCACATTTAATCCTAACGTATATGTGAACTTCAAAAAAACTGCAAACCTGAAGGCAAACTAATTCTGTGTCCATCTTTAAGTTTTAACCGGCTTCTTTTAAATTTGCCCTTCCTCTTCTTTACATTGGGTTTCTCTTGATTTAACTGGAATATCATGATATTCAGCTCACGCTCCAGTACATCGATCTCACGTTCTGCTAACTGTTGCTCACGGCGCTTAAGTAATTCTTCTTGAGATTTTTGCTGAAGAGCTGCTCTTGTCAACTCCTCTTCTCGTGATCGAAGCTCCTGAAGACAAGATTCACACAAGTGAAACTACACAATAATGTGAAGGTTGTATTAAAGGACATATAAAGCGTGCAGCAGGTTGTATTTCCTTATCTATTTTCATGAGGGACTATATACATGTAAAATGCACATACGACCTTCTGACACTCCTCCATTCTGCATAAGCCAAGATTCTGTATCTGGATGCAATCAAGCATTATACAGATTTCTTTTTAACCATTTAACTTGAGTCACTTTACTTAAGGTAGGTAAGCACTGGCAATGGGGACAACACATCGAATCAAAGATTACCAGCTTGCAGCCTAGCAGAAAATGTGCTCTAAGTACTTCACATCGAAGACTCTCTCAGCACGAGGGCTGCTCTTAGATAGCTCCTATGCACTAACATAAAATCAGTGACCTGGCAAATACACAAATGAATGCCTTTATCTTAAATTTTCTAACCTTTCCTGTTTTTCAGCCATGTATTAAGTAGCACTTTTCTATCTAGAAAAGCAATCAGTATTACACAGAATGAGGATTAGTGTAATAGGATAAACCAAGTCATAAGACAGAAGACAGCTGTTTCTTAATTAAAATCTAGCAGGTATCTGTATAACATCAAACAGCTACTAACCACTGAATTGCACCACAAAGACTCTCCAACCATGAATCCCATAGAATAGTTATTTTCCCTTTTTTCTTTTTTATTTTGGAGCAGGAGAAGCTTTAGCGAGGAAGCCAGTTAATTTTTCAGAGTAAATGAATCCCCAAGGCTAAACAGCTGTAAACCTACAATCTTAAAATAATCTTAATCTTCAGCTTCCAAAATCTGTTAAAATATATCTGAAATTTAAGTACACCTCCCTTCATAGTATGGGGCTGTCCTGTTATTATAAAAGAAGCAGACCTACCCAGAAGTGTTGTAGTCAGTACTGCTAATAAAAGACTACAGGAAAAGGAGAAGCTAAGATGTGACTGATACTGTATGTTTATCACTACATAATTTTTTTCATATTTACATATGATTGTGTAAATTCTACCTGGATAGAAATTAAAATTCAATTCAAAATAGAAAACCAGCATTTGAAATTAAGCTATGCTAAAAGTGCTGGATATTTAAGAAATTTATTCCTATTTAAAATTCATCCATTTTGTCACTGTACAATCTTATAATTGCGGTGGTGTTTTTTTTTCCCCAGAGCAGACTGCCTACTTCTGCTCATCAGTATCCAACAATGTTGTATGCCAGCACAATTTCTTATCACATACAGTAAAAGCAAAAAAACAAATTTTCTGCTCTTTTTAACTCCCACTTTGTCTTGAATAAATTATTTCCTGAACTATACTACTTTGGTGTTTTCAAATGAGGGGAAAAGACCCTCTCTGTTCTTGCCAAAAAGACTATGGATGTCAAATGACAGGTTAACACCGAAGTGAGAAGTATCTGTTCCTCAGAAAGATACTTGTTTTTTCTTTACAGCTATAGCATACACACACTGCTTACCATTGTTTTCAAATTTAATTGAAATGATTGACAAATTTCATATGGTTTGCTAATCTTGAGTGAGCTTGTTTCAATATAATATTTAAATTTTTTTTTTTTTTTTTTAATCCACTCTGCTTAACATACACAGTTTCATAAAAGGCAATTCTGCCTCTTGGAAATTCAAAGGAGCCTGTCTTCACACCAGCAAGTAAGGTTTTGGTTTTTTGTTTGGGTTTTTTTAAAGATATTTAATCACTCAATTTAGAGATTGCTGCAAATTCTCACTTTCCTCTTCCACCTGTCCAGTCAAAACTGGACAAACTAAAACAAGGGTTGGAAGCAGAAGCTGCAAGAATCCAAATTTACAATAAAGGTACTTTAGCATCTAAATAGATGTTTTTTACTGTATTAATACTGTAATAAAGATGTATTATGAGACACTGTTGATTATGCGTCTCGTGTTGTCTTCAAATCCAGATTCCATAAAGCTCAGTAACTAGGCAAAAATTGAGGGCCCGTATTGAAAAGGTTGACAGTCTAGAAAAAGTAATAGTGCTTCCTCACTGAGAGATTAAGTATTTACTCTTTTCCAAATAAACTAATTAAAAACAGACTTACTGCAATTAGTTATGCAATGTTTTTATACCACTCTACAATTAAAACACCCATTGTAAGGAAGCTATGAAAGAATTCTATATTTAAGTTGCTCAAGAACGTTTGTCAAAAGAAGATTGTGATCTTCTCTTGGAGTGGGCGTCACCATCACTCATTTACAGCCAGCCCTTGAGGAAATTCTTCCAGCTACAGAAGTTCCTCTTTTACAGGGCATGAGACTCCATGCAGGGTTTTGTATTATTATTATATAAATACTTCATAGACATTACTTTCCCCTAGTACCTGTCAGTAAAATTGATAATGTGCCAAATTAAATAAGCCTGCACATATGAAAACCTAGTCTAAGTCAAATTTACACACTTTCATTCTTAAACAGGTTTACCTAATTAGGGCAGATGCCTTTGGAGATGTATTTACTTTGGCATATGAGAAGTAAATTTCATTTTATCTTTTCCCCTCCCTAATTAAGCTTAACTGACTTTTACACCAAAAATATGACTCTTCTCCCAAAGCTTTGTGCCTACTTATTTAATCCTAAACTTGATTTATTCAGCTTTTTCTTCAATAGCAAATCTCATACTGGACTAATGCCTCCAGAAAATTAAAAAAAAAAAAAAACAAACAAAACCTGAATGGTAACGCCTGTTACAATTGCTCCCAGAGTAAAAAGGGGAAGATGGCTTGTTCAGCAGTTGCTGGAGGAGCAGAAAAGAGAATTATGCCCTATGGCAAGTTGTGGCAAGTAAACGCAGTGGCTGGTGACCCCATGGCAAGTAAAAAGGAAAGTCTCTACTCTCTGTAGAGGGACTATAATCCATCTGGAAAGGAAGAGATCTGACAACTAAAGAGGCACACAACCCAGCTCTAGCAACCTGTATGCCCACTGCAGGCAGGGCAGAGACTACACAGACAACACTTACCTAGTTCCATGAACCAAAATGGGAGAGGGAAAAGCAGGGGGTGGGAAAAAAGGCTGATAGGAAGTATGTAAGATTACTACGTAAGATGATACTGCAATCTTAGTGGTGATCATTAAATTCTGATACCACATATGCTGATATTACAGTAGATCCATAATGTCACACCCATCACCAGCCAATAGTCCACAAACAGCCATTTGTGACACTTGATGAGAAGTGAGGGACAAAGGCTACTGACAGTGACTTGCAAGGCAAGAGTTTAGTTTTTGCTTTTGTCAAGGTTACGTGACTGCGTCTTTTATAAAGATTTCTTCACAGGTCAGTGCATCTCAATTCTCTTCTTTCTCATCTATTACCACTTCATGAAAAATAACAACAAATATATACTGGGTAATAATTATACTGCAAGAAAGACCTGCAAAGGAGGAATCTGTTTCTACTAGAAGTATTTCTAACAGGGACTCAAGAGGACACACCTGGCCTATACCAACTGTTATCTTTGTCAAGTTGTCTAAAGGAAAATATAAACCTCTGGGCAATTAAAAACTAGTTCAAGTAAATAAAAGAGAGGGCAAAGAGAATTAACAGTAAGCGTTCATTTAGCACAAACATATAATGATATGAGACTATGGAAAGATGATCAGTGACATGAATCTGGATAATAAACAAGAGAAACTGGATTTGCTGATTCATGAATACAAGTTTGACCTAATCGATCTTATTAATACCTGGCAAGAAGATTTCCAAAACTGCAACACTGAAAGAGATCAATATTATTATTCTGGTTCAGGAAGAAGAGAGACAAAAGCACTGTTTCATTTTTTGAAAAGAAGCCACATAATACAGTCATGTAACAGGTTGAAAAGCTTTTCATTCCCATAGCTGAGGAGAACTTTCAGCAGCAGCTAAAAATATGCAGTGTTTATAAAGATTATCTAAGGGGTAAATAAACTCTGGTTTGTTTGTTAAATGATGCATTCAAATATCCAAGAAAAATGTAACACATTTTAAAAAGAGCCTACGTGCCACATTTACAGATCTACAACCTGTTTTCTTTAGGGAAACAGGTGTGGATATGTTTCTTTTTCAACCACCTGTACTTCCTAAATGAGCCATTCATATGATAACCCTCACCCACTACAATAAAATCACGCTTCCTATCAAACTTAACATTTCACTTCAACTGAAATACCTGTAGCTATAGTTTCAGCATACAGAACTGTTTATTGTTTTTGTTGAGGAAGAAAAAGGAAAAGCAATATTGTCTGAAATTTGAGAAAACCAGTATTCAAACCTTTTTTCTAAAGTAAGTTTGCTTACAAGACAGTTACAGGGCTATCTTAAAATAACTGTTGTCATGGTTTAACCTTAGCCAGCAACTGAGCACCACGCAGCCGCTCGCTCACTCCCCCAGCCCCGGTGGAATGGGGGAGAGAATTGGAAGAGTAAAAGTGAGAAAACTCATGGGTTGAGATAAAAACAGTTTAATAATTGAAATAGAATAAAGTAAAATAGTAATATTAATAACAACAGTAGAAGAATATACAAAGCAAGTGATGCACGATGCAATTGCTCACCACTTGCTGACCGATGCCTAGCCAGTCCCCATGCAGCAGTCGCTGCCCCCCGGCCAACTCCCCCCAGCTTATGTACTGAGCATGGCATCACATGGTATGGAATGTCCCTTTGGCCAGTTTGGGTCAGCTGTCCTGGCTATAGTCCCGCCCAGCTTCTTGTGCACCTCTTCACTGGCAGAGTATGGAAGGCTGAAAAGTCCTTGACTAGTGTAAGCGCTACTTAGCAACAACTAAACCATCGGTGTGTTATCAACATTATTCTCATCCTAAATCCAAAACCCAGCACCGTACCAGCTACTAGGAAGAAAATTAACTCTATCCCAGCTGAAACCAGGACAGGGGAGAACTGTCAGAGCTTCATAAAAATATGAATAGTCTAGAGAAAATTAATTCAGAATGATTGCTCACAATTTTTCATAA